ATTAAACAGTGTGAATTTAATCTGGAATGTTTGACACTTTTGCATTTTTGGAAATATTAATAATCTCAGTTTTCATCATTTTCTGGAGTTTTCCATTTGGGTTTTGAGAATCGTAACCTATTCACTACTGCACGATTGTGACAAATCTGCAGTGGAGACAGATGGCTCACGAGCCTCTTTAAATCCAATAGAATGGGTTGAAGTATAAAAATGCAACATATGTACTATTGTAGTGGATGTATACTGTGTATATTTTTACAGCTACATATTAAAAAATTAAGAGGAGGGGGAAAAAAAAGCAAGGTCTATGAAATTAATATAGAAAAGGAAAAAACCCAACATGTAAGTGGAGGATAAATGTGGACAAACAGATCATTAGAAGTGTGCATTGATAGACATATGACTAAATATGGTTTGCATTGGTGGTATCTCGTAGGGTTCTAGGTGCACTATGACAGACCTGATGGGTATGTAACATTAATATGGTTAGATTCCAGTTTTATAAGTTTCCTGTGCATTTCAAATACGCATTACTACTTAGTGCAACATCATAACACATGGGTGAAGACTGTAGGGTTTTTTCTTTGTTGTTGTAATTTTACATACAAAAGGAAAAGTTTTTAGTAAAAACGTAAGAAAATTAATGTAACTTTAAGATGTCGAATCTGGAAATCTATGGGTTTTTTCTACTATACATACTGATAAGTAGCCTTTGCAATCACATGGGTGTGATCACTTATTTTTAACTCTTAGAAGTGCAGTCTAACTATCCAGCTTCTGCTCCCTTGTTTTCACAGTTCTTGGCCCTTTAGTGTCATATAAAGTGCTTCACCCAAAGCATCGGGAACAGATTACTGCTGAACGCTGCAGTCATGATTGATTACCAGTTTGACAGGGCTGAGCACATGACAACTGCAGTGCATCCCTTGGGGTGCGGGACCGGCGCTAACTGCGTGGTTAGTACTTACAGCAGCATCCTCTGCTAATTTGTCAGCACACATGTCACACTAGCATGGCACTTGTGCTCCTTTCACTCAGAATTTACAGAGGGAGAGGTCAGCATGAGAGAGACAGAAATAAGATAAATCTTGTGGTAACAGAGTGGGTTGTTGTTGCTACTTTTGGACTGAAAGATAAAAAGCAGCAGTTTCCAGCAGCTAGGCATGCAAGTGGGAGTTAATGTGATCAGTATGCTGTATGTTAACTGCAGCCTTACAAGGCACAGATCTATAAGCCTTAATGTGAACAGGAGGCGACAGCTGCAGACCCTGTATTCTGTATTGTGACTAAAATCGTTATGAATTATTTGCCTTACGGCTTCTTAAAAGCAAACAAGTAATGGGTTTAGGTACCACCTTTATGATTACCGCTTATTAGCCAAAAAAAAGTAGCTGAATAGAACCTTTTAAAATACTGTTGGGCCATTTTGTGGTGAATGGGCTAAATTGTTCGTATACAAGAGTACTGTGTTAAGAATGGCACAATACTATGGTACAAGCCCCACTGGAGTGTTAGTTGCTTTGTGTTTTAGATGTTTTAAGTAAAGCTGAACATTTAGCTCCCTCTTTTCCTAGAAAGATTCCTTCAACTGTAGCATCAGGAGCTCCAGGACTCCTGGATGGAAAGTCTGGAATCCAGCTTAGGATCTCAGTAACAGCACTACGGCTGAGCCCTGCAGAAGAAAATCCATTTCCTCTGCAGAGCTAACGCCATTTACTTAGCCTCATATAGTTCATTGCAAAACTGAAGGTAACTTCCTGGGTTTTGTCATAGCATAGAATATCTTAACTTTTTGACTGATGAGAGGGGTGTATCTGCCAAGGGTTAAGCCATCAATGTGGCCACCAATAATAGAATCTGAGTTGCATGGGTATAGTACATTTTAACAGGAAGGCTTCTGATACCTGTAACAAAAGCTTTGTGCAGCAAAGGGACTGGGCTGAGCAATTCCCCTCGGCTTATCCTACAGCTAGTCTTGTTCGTTTGTGAACACTGACTCTGGATTACTTATGGACCCCAACAAGAAAAGGACAGTTTCACTTCCATAGTGAAGGGAGCTGTAGTGCATCTGTAAAGGCAAAACATGGTGCTGTGTCCTAATAGCGTAGCTAACTCGGGTAACAAAAAGTCATGATGTGCTGGCTTACTATTCTGTTCACCTGGGCTGCTGTTAGGAGTAACACCTTCATGGAGTGTTGAGCAAACTGGTTCCAAAACAAAAGCTAACTTGGATAGCCGTATGGTACTGCATCAGCTCTACAGTGATGGTAGGTTTGCAATGCAGGTGAGAGCTGTGGTTGCAGTCTAGGGCACAAGAAGCACAAATAGCATTTATTTAGCAATTTGCATTAATCGCAAGAAAGCCAAAATAAATAGCACAAATTTCAGCATGAGCTGTACAAGTCTACCAGGGCACTGCATGTTGGGCTTCACTGTCAATGCTGCCTGAGTTAGGTCAGGTCTCTTCATGTGCTGCACTCAAAGCTGCCACTCTAATGGCATACCTTGAGGGAGTCAAGGGCTTTCTTTTAATATTAATAATTATTAATAAACTGTTTCCTAAAAATGAAAACCCCTTCTCTAAAGTAAACTACAACAGTCCAAATGCACATTAATTACAATTCATACAGTAGAATTCACCTCTCTATTTTAATACCCAGTGAATGCTTTTGGTGTGTCTGTCAGTTTGTGAGGTAACTGGATCTGAAAAGATGTTAAGATAAGTCATTCTAAATTTTCTTAAAAAAAAAAAAAGAATCCAAACAGTAAAAATTTCCCTTCTAGTCAGATGTCACTATGTAGTTCTAGATAGCTGAAAGGGCTTTGATGTAGACAAGTAAACCTGTTTTAGAAGTTGAGGGGAGGGAAGGGACCAAAGCAAGATCACGACCAGAGAATGGCAGATTCTTAAATGCAACCTGACTTCTGGTTCTGCCTCAGCTGTGCTACTACTAGGTCACAGCCTTCATCTATACATGAGATGATTACATTTCAGTTCCACAACCAAAAAAGTCTCAGGAGTTCTTAAGGCTCTGATACATGGCATCAGATGTGAGCAGAGCCTCCAACCACGCCAAAAATCCTCCAGGTTAAGACAGAAAGAAAACAAATTTTGGAGCGTGACACTTCCCTCATGGGAGTCTGTGTTAAGGCCAGCTGTGCTTAACACACTGAAGGTCAGTGGAAATACCTGGATTTACCTCATTCTCTCCACCTTCCCTGCACTCCTTCTCACAGCTAAACGATCAGTACAGTGTTTCTCTCTCTACTCAGATGCAGCCCACTTCTCATGTTCAAGCTTGCTCATCCAATGTAAGAGGTCAGAAAGGAATGTCAGGAAACTTAATAAAAAATGAATCTTAACCTGTGTTCAAATAATAGAGTACCTTTCCTCATGCATCTGTTGGCGCTTCAAACTTTTTGCTAGCACACAACCATTTGCTGAATGTTATTAGCATTAAGGCTTCTTTCCAGTAGCCTTTTCAGCTGAAGTATTACTATATTAAAGTTCCTGCAGTATGGCTGTTCCTTCTCAGATGTAGATTGTACTTGCCAGCAGGTGGTGGGGAGGGGGCAAGGGCAGGGCCAAAAAAAGCTGTTGGCAATGAGGTGAAACTGTTTTGGCATGTGGTGTCATCTTGCTTCATAAGCATTAAATGGGTTCTTGGGGGGAAAAAGCCTATATAGAGGTAAGTATGTGGGCAAAACTTACAAAACTGAACATTAAATTGCTGAAGCCATACCCTCAGACCTACTCTAGTAGTACTGTAACCATTTAACTTCAGTGGATCGGACACAAATCTTTCACTTTTAATCCGTCACAAAAGAGATGCAACTCGGACATTATAGTTTAAGCATGCAACGTCATAGGTAACAAAATTGGTTAGATAGCAGTGTATATTAAATAAATCTTTGTGATTAAGTAAAAAATGAATCACAAAAACAATTGCTGAGGAACATGTCTGCAGGCTCAGCTCTACATCTGTTTGTTTTTTTTTCTTTTATACATCAGCAGCAGCCAAATTCACAATTGATAGATATTGCACCAGAAAGACATGTGCAGTGAGATTAATGTTTATGATAAAAAAACAGATATGACTTCCATGTGTTACATAAAGTGCCTTTAGAGTTGGTGCAGTTAGAAACAAACAAAAAAACCATTGTTATTTAGATATCATTAGCAAATGCATACAAATAGGAGACAAAACAAACAGGTCTGTTTTCCATAGTGCCAAATCACACAGTGCCAGGTTTCATTCAAAATGCCTCCATTGCAAACAGCTAAGAGGAAAGGATAATAAAAGAATCGCTATACAAAGATAATGACAGGGTTAAGCATACTTTCCTAAAATGATTAATGCCAACCCTACCCCAAAATGCTTTATAGTACATGTAAATATTACCAATAATGAGGCAATTTCTTTATTGAACATGAGATTTGGCATGCTATGTTATGATTCTCCCTTGACTCGTAACTATTCTAATATTTATACAAAAATGCAACATCCAGTCCGTACTTCTGGATACAGAAAAATATTTATGTGCTCAATGAAAAGAGTTGCTCTCGATCTATATAGCCCATGTAGAGAAAATTTCCAACATAGCTTTCTCCTACCTACTTTCTTAATGGTTTGGGAACACAAGGCTCAAAATGTGCTTTGAAAAAAATGACACTGGCATCAAGTCTGGTATGAAATTAAGAAAAATGCTCATTTTTCCAAGTATATGGTATTTAATTGTAATGAAATAAAATCTGAAAATGTCTAAATCAATTAAAAAGTAAACATGAGTTGTAATACTATACCTGTAAAATGATTAATTCCATTCATTGTCATTAGAAATTATGTAAAATATTTATTAAGGGCTTTGCCTACAGAGGCAGAAAATAAATAGAGTA